CTTACTCGTGACTTTATGAAATTTGGTGTCAATTTATATATATTTTGGAAATTGCGATTAATAAAAAACGATTAATATCAAAAAAAAAAAAAAAAAAGAAAAGGAAAATAGATAACGGATAGATGATAAAAATTAAAGGGATGCTTTGCCTTATGATACTAACCGTTCTTTCTCCTTTCCATAACGATATTTACCAGCATGAGAAATATCTAGCGAATCTTCTGATATTAAACACTCTTTAATAAATGTATCATAATTTTTTGTCAAAGTCACACGTACATATCTTGTAGTACACTCAATGTTCAATTAATATCAATGACGAATGTATATTTAACATAAGCAATTATCTTTCCATCAGAAAAAATTCTCGATACGAAAAAGTGCCGTTCAATTTAGAATTATTGCACAGTTTATCGATATATTGTTGCCATTTCACTCGGTACGATATTTGTCGACCGATGAATAGCAAAGACTAATAAGACTTCTGTCTCTGCGATCGATCACGTGTAATTATAATAAATACGTTATTACAAGAAATTAAAATTCATATATCATGTATTATTTACATAATATATATATTAATTCTGACGTTTCGTGGAAATACCTGTTTTGCTATATATTGCTCGGAATAAAATCATAAAACTATATATGCAGATTTGTAACGATCCCAGCGTAACAAAATCATTTTATCATTTTTTTTTTCCCATTTTATTTTAGAAGGACAGAAAAATGACTTAATATCGAATTCTTCAAATTTTAGGTCACAATTTATAGGTTATGATAATCTTAATGGAAATTACATGTTATATGTTACAATATTTTTTAATTAATTGTATCTCGATCTATAAAGTCGTTTGATAAAATCATACAGAACGGATAACTCTATTCCAATGTCGAATATTAATCGCGTGCAAACTTGTTTTATGGAAATATCGGAATTAATGAAACGATAAAACTAACGCGATGGATAAAAATGTGCTATAAAAAGTCAAATGGCAGACGGTTGAAAGACATTTAATTGTTCCCAATTCACCGAGAAATCAACCGTTTATTCCGTTTTAACGAGAGCAAAGCCTATATTGTCTTTCCGATAAAAAAGAAAAAAAAAAAAAAAAAGAAANTAAAAAATAAAAAAAAAAAAAAAAAGAAAAAAAAAAAGAAAAGAAAGAAAAAGCACATTATCCTATGAATATTATTCTCCTTCTTAAACGGGTGCATTGTTTCACTTATGCGCGTGCTTCATTACTCAACAAATGTCTAGATAACGAGTTTTTAATTCTTTCTTTCTTCGAAAGAAAAGAGGAAGTTATCGTATCGTATATTGCAAGTTTATCAATTTACCGACACGTATATACCCGATTTTAAGCGGTTGATCGAGGCGTTGCATGCGTATCGCGATTATTTTCGCGAGTTCAGGGTTCAACAATAATTTCAAATGTTTGTTTAAATATTTCACGTTAAGGCGTGAAATATTTCTGACATTGATTAATTTATTAGAGAAGTATGATTTACAAACCTCATTTGCAATAATTTATAACGTGCAAACATTACACGCTATAAAATATACTATAAATTACAATGTTATTATTTATACGGAATACATTTTAACATTATTTATATAATAAGTTTATATGAATTATATGGTTCATTTTTTTTTTGTATTGACGTAAGTTCAAGTTTCCTTTTTCAATCATTCGAAGAGATTGGAGATCAGATCACCTTGATCACTCGATTTGTTCATGGATGCGGAAGAAATTAAGCGAATCGAGGATGATTTGAATAATCGACTGGTTCGTTATATATTTCGATATGTTCAAAATCTGGACTTTAATTCGTATTTAAGAATATAGAATGTTGTTGACCAAGTGAAACAATCGTTAATTATAAGTTTTATCACGATTTTTTCGAATTTTTCCTTCGAGGAAAGGAGGAGGTTTTTGAAATCATTAGGGGGAACTTGGTCTTTGGAGATAAGGATAAGCAGTCTCAGCGCAGTGGAAAGGTCGTTAAAAATCGCTTTCACCAAGTGGTTCATTGCCATTGACATTCACAAGGCTGGAAAGCCGTAGTACCGTGATCCCGATGATTCGAATCGATCGACCGCAAAAGAAAGAAAATCCCTCGAAAATCAATTCTCCTCGATCGAGTCACAAACCTATAAACGTTACTTTTCGAACAAAAATCGAAATTTTATTCTTCTCGATATCCACGCGAGTTAAAAACGAAATGTTTGAATTCGATCGAGATTGTCGGAAAATAAATCGTTGAAAATTACGGTATTTGACACGTGAATTTCCAACACGTGTGAATTCAGGTTGATCCATCGTGGAATTTGACGAGCAAAAACGAAAGTATGTCGGGGCATGATACACGCGGGAAAAAGGTTGGAAGCGTTGTTTGTTACGGTGTTACGTTCTTTCAGCACGAGAAAACCGATACTTAAGTGGAAACGTGTAAGGTGGGATGCGTGTTGCGAAAGAAAGATTGCGATTGCTTTCAATCGTAATGTGCAACGTTTGCTTACAAGTGTGTGCATAGAAATTACTTAACAACGCGATTTTAATAAATTGCTACCTGCGAGTATAATAGAAAACGCGGGATGTAAATTTTGTTGATATAATATTAAATTTATTTCGTCGCGTTATTTCGGATCGTTTCCCAATCATTTTCAAATTAACGACGAATTTTTCAACCTCAAAGTTAAAGGATATCGCCAATTCTAGAAGAGATTTTTTTAAAGATTTTCAAGAGATTTTAAAATAGTTTCAACGATACGTAGGAAACGATCGTGCTTCGTTTTTTTTTTCGTCTCTGAATTTGAAAGGAATTTTATGGTTTATTTACAGGCCAACTAAGATAATATCGTTTGAGAAAGGAGAGCGGTTCTATTCGTTAAATTTTTATGAAAGTAGGTTAATAATTTGACGGATTAATCCACTTAGGGATCGATGAAGCATTAACGAGTAATTTATCGTTTAGATTAAACATAAGAAAGGAAGTTTCGTCGAATTTTTTTATTTTTCTTTGGATTTCCTTTTTTTTTTTTTTTTTTTACAAAAACAAAGTTTTAATTATTCGAATGTTGTATTTTATTGGATTTTCTGTTTGCACAAATTAATGCAACATTAATTAATGTGTATTTCTTTTTTTTTTTTAATCGTGTTGGAATATTATCATAAATAATCGGTATATTGAACGCATAGATAAATAGATTTCTAAATGCGCATTTTAGTGCGCAAAATATATTAAGAAAGGAATATATAATATAATATATAAATAATATAAATAAGAATATATAAGAAATTTAATAATTTGTAATGTAATTCCAAGTTTATGAATATTTTGTGTAACACGAACGATCGTTAAACGAATGTAAATCTATATGAATTTCAATAAATTAATATCATCGATTAAAAGAAAAAAAAAGTACTATTCATCGTTATTATTGATTTATTACAATAAACAAAAAGTACGTCTTGATAGATAATTATTTAAATAAACTGACAGTTTAATAATTCTCTATGTTAAAAAATTGACAATTATCGTCAAATTATCCACACTACTCTATAAAAATATACATTCAACGATATTTAAGAACTTATGTACGTATAAATTTATCACTTACGTATTATTTTCGATATTCCGTAGTACATTTTCGAGATCTTTTTTTGATCTTGAATATGATAGGAATAGTTAAGCGCAAACTTTGTTCGTTCGAAGTAAACTATTCTCGAAAACTTACAACTGAACTTGATTAAATAGAAGAAAGATTTAATTCTGGGCAGTTCTAGGCTTCCTCGTCGATAACCATTCGCATACTGACAATGAGAACAGAAACTTAATTCGTTGAAAACTTTTTTTTCTCCGAACTAGAATGATAACCGCCTGTTGCGGTTACAAACAGATAAGATGGTTATGCACGCGAAGAAGACATGTTAACTCGCTCACGACAATTATGTTTTCCTATTTTTTGTCGCGGGGCAGAAATTTTATTCTCTTTTGCACATGTAAATTTTTTTTAATTAATTAAAAAGAAGAAAAATTTAAATCACGTTTCAAATCACGTTTAAATTATCTGCACGTTATCCATATCATTAATGAAGGTAAAGTTGCATCTGATCTATTTTTTTTTTTTTTTTGATATTATGTTAAATAATTTTTTTTCACGTTGAATAATGTCACGTATTACACAATGAAATTTTTTTTAGCGGAAAATTTCTGTGCAAGAAATTACGTGTATCGTATCTCGAATAAATTTTAATGAAGTAATTTATGACCGATGATTGATACATAAACAAATTATCGATTAATAACAAACGATCGAATAATTGTTCCCTTCGTTTATTAAAAACTTTTTCAAAGAGGAAAATTCTGTTTCTTATTAATTTTTTGTCTAATAAAGTCTTCCATCTTGTGGCCTTGTTATCAATTAATAGCAGCAGGATGCGATGAATATATTCTTAACCTGGAATTATTAATTTATTGATCGAATTTTTTTTAATCTTTAATCGATCAGTAATAACTAATAATTAACTTTTTTTTCTCGAGCAAACAAGCCTCTTATTTGCTCATTCCTTCGTACCTTTTATCGCGTAGCAGGATTAAATGATTCGTGGAAGAAACCTTGCAGAAATGAAGAACGGAGATTCCCCGTGTTGAATTGCAGTTTTACATTTTTTTGTACGCGAAACAATTCGCGGATTGATCGATGTTATAACCTAGATCAAGAGATAAATAAAGGGCAATTAACATCGAATTCCATTTATTGTGCATTGTCTTCTCTTCTGATATTCTTCTATTTAATTATTAATTCTCCTATTCATATATTAAACTTAATAAGTTATTCTTATTCTTATTATTATTATTATTATTATTATTATTATTATTTGCAAAATTTACTTTATCCCAACGAAGCGAATATTTTATTTTATTATTCTATTATACGGATTCCGTTTCTACAATTGAATAGGGGGGAGGGAAAAAAGAATTATTTTTCTTCTTCATTCGACTTCTTCGTATCGTTTCTCTTGAGATTTCTTGATCTCCTTGTGATCCTTCGATGTCAGCTTCACGTCTAATCAAGGAAGACAAGATTTATTTTTTTAAGGATTGACCTATTTTACGAAGAAATTTCGATAATTGACGATGAGATAAATTCGAATTGCCCATTACTTGCAAGGCATATTTCACTGTCGAAGGAACAAATAGATTCGCTTGGACTGTCTAAATCCGATTCTTCCGTTATTTTCTTACAACTCCATTTTTTGAAAGTAGTTATGTACAACGGTTTTTTTCGTCGATCAGCCACGCGAGTTATCGCTGTAGCAAAAAAACGGATAACGTATTGAGAGCGGAAAAGAGTCAGAGACGTTGAATAATGATATTGACGTAATTTCATCTTATTACACTAGAGCAAACTAGTCGATTGTAATAACAACATAATAACGATAATAGATAAAATCATATTCAAGCTCGATTATAAAAATTGTTGCGCATAAATAAGTAAAAAAAAAAAAAAAAAAAATAGATGAATGAAAAATTTAATAAGCATACTCTCCTTTAAAAAAAATCATTTTAACGGAGATTCGCTAATCTGAAAGGGAGAGAAGAGAAAAAAAAGTATAAATAAATCTTTTTAAGCGTGAAAAATCAAAATCTTACGCGGTGCTTCCGTTGGCGGTATTGTAAGACCCATGCATGAAATATGTCGTGGATTGAGGAAGTATTCCCTCACTTCTATGGATGGTTTTATACATCCTAAGATCAATTCTGATTCCGGTATGTGTTTGTAAATTTTCCTAACTCTTTGTCTCGGCTTCTTCTTCTCCTTCTTTACCTCCTTTTTTCTACACTTTCGAATTGTTTTACCAAATTCGTCCACCTCTTCCATGTCCTCCTCGTCGGTCTTTTTTGATATCTTCCGTTTCTTCCTTTCTTTCTTTTTCTCCTGAATTTTCGTCTTCAGCGCTCGTTCCGCTTTCCATTCTTCGTACCTTTCGCAACCTTTATGCATGTTTAATTACAAAAAAGAAACTTTCAATATCTAATTATTATTATTATTATTATTATTATTGGATAGCGTTAGTTCCTTGATTAGATAGCGTTCAATGGACGAGGAGATTATTGGACACGGGGAGAGAGACGGTATTAGCGGGTTACGTGACTTTTACATTTCTGCGTGTTTTGATTGATTTTTGGAATTCATGATTGGCCGGTTCGGTAACGGGGTTCGCGTTTGAATTTTTTCGAAAAGTTCAGTTCGGTTTTAGGTGGACATTGTGTTGTGCGGATGCATTTTGTACACGTGTGTGAATTTGTCAAGGGGATCGGATTAGGTATCGAGATTCGTATCGTTTGTTTCCCGCTCGATGCTGCATCATGATGAAATCTCTATGCGATTAACTTCATATTATATTTAGTATAATTTTTTGACGGACAATTTTATTACAAACATGCCAAAATTCTAAGTAACGTATACAAAAATGAAAACTATCGTTATTCGATATTAGAAAAAATCGTGAAAATATCGTAAAAATTATCAATTGAATCGTATCCTCGGAAGAAGATGTAGGTTATATTAAATCTACACCTAAAATGATGCAAATACATTTTAACCATTCCTCGTAATTTCTTTCTTACTTTCTTTCTTTTTTTTTTTTTTTTTTCGGATACGGTTTTAAAAAAAATTGTTGTAAATTAACGGGTAAAAGAAAAAAAAAAATTGTTTTACGAACAACTGCAACTGAAGCAAAATGGAAAAGCCAGAAGTGATACCGCTAGAAAAAAAGATATACAGGGAAAAATTGAAACAGCTCGCAACATGCGAGAGAATCGTTTCCGACGAAACTATAAACGCCATCGGCCGGGTGACCGAGATCGTACGTGCCGCGGACGACAACGCCCCCAGCAGCGATGAACTCGACGAGGAACTCGAAGAACAATACAAAGACATCAACTTGTATCTCGATTTGCCGAACGACACGTATTCCTTGACCGAAATCAGGCCTGAGCTTCCGTCGTGCGTTCGATATGGCGTGCGCGCTGGAATGACCCATATCAACATGCCAAAGTTCTCGCCATTGTCAAGGGGTCATCAGGTAAATCAAATTTTTCGGGACGATCGTCAAGCGGTCTCATCTCTTTTTCTTTTTTTCTTTCCACGATTCAAAATTACGTAAAACCTACTTCGGATCGGATTTAAAATTTTCGTTTATACAATTTCTATATCTCTGTTTCAAATATGCGTTGTAATTTTGCGAGGAAGTTACTCGAGTTCCAACTTCATGATAATGATTAAAGTTTAACGCTGAGAGGTAGAATTCGCATCAGAAAGATATCTCTGATTACCTGTGATTGTTTGGACAAACAGGGTGGCGCAACAGCGATCGCTGCTTTCGCGACGACCACGGTGTACAAGTCCCGTTGCTGGAACGAGGCGGTGATCGATCAGATCATCGAGGACGGGGACACGTTCTACTGCGATTCCTACAAAGACATAAACACGGACGATCGCCGATTGCTCTCGATTCTCGATTTGAAGAGGACCATGTGCGTGCAGAACAAACTCGTGGTGAACGTGAGCATCGAGGACGCGGTTTACGCCGGTAAATTTCGCTCGACCGAGCCCACGGAATTGCATCTGGTCAAGGCTTTGGATCTGTTCTTCAAGCGTTACAACGCCGCCATATTGACGTCGTCCGTGTTGAACATAGCGATTTGGAAGGACGCGAGGTACTACAATCTGTTCGACGGCCAAGCGAGAAGGGAGAGCTGCGAACCGGCCCCGGACGGGGTCAGCGGGACGGCTAAATTATTCCTGGTCAAGGACCTGATAGGGCTCCTCTTCATCATTCTCGAGAAGAGCAACGTGAAGAACGAGCCGTTCGTCCTTTACACGATAGCGATCAGGGGCGTGGAGCATCACACCCAGATAGCGGACCCCGAGAAACTGGAAAGGTTCGACACGAAACCGCAGAGGCGGCCGAGCGGTTACAAGATGCAGGAGAAGTATCGAGCCGTGGTCCAAGGCTCTTATCACGTGAATCACCCGGTGATCCCTCCGCCGCTTCGAGGCCGCACCTTCTTGATCATAGCTTTGGCCGCCCTCGTTTACTCCCGTTTGGTGAACGCGAACAAATGGACCAGCGCTTTGATCGACCTCATCTTCAATCAGTCCAACATATACTTCGTGGATCTGGTCCGCGTGCTCGACAAGGATCTAGGGGACGCCGATTTCGAGCTCCGGCTGGACGACATCATGGGAGACATAATTCTCGGCGCGTATTCGGCCAAGGTGAAGATAAGGACGAACGTGGTGCCCGGTTACGGGCAGAAGAGGGGCAAGTTGGCGATCGACGACGGTATACGGGAGTTCTTTCAAACGCAATTGACGGGCCTGCTCGAGGTGAAGAACTACTTCTACGCGATATGGAGGCACGACGACACGTATTACTTCATGGATCCGTTCGCCTGCGACGACGAGGGGTTCAGGAGCGGCACGGCCGATATCGCGGGCTCGGACAAGCCGGGGGAGGCCGCTTGCGTTACGATGAACAGCTCGATCAACCAGGTGATGGAGACCATTATGGAGAACACGGGAAGCAGGGACAGGGACCCGTTCGTGATCCACGGGGTTAGGGTTTTGTACGTGAAGACCGGCACGACGCCCGGCAGCCCTTTGGAGAGAGTGATCTATCGAGAGAAGGGAACGAACCGAAGGCCCCAACCACCCCCGGTACCCGTGAAGAGCCCGAGCGTGTTGAGGATCGAGGAGATGAAGAAGGTGGACATGAGCCCGAGGATAAGGCCCGAGATCGAGACGTTGAAGGACGTGGACGTCCAGGTGCCCGAGCTGATGAAGAACGCGGAGAGCTACATGATAAAGGACGACGAGCCGCTCACCTACACGATCGTTACGCCCGAGGAGAAGGTGGTCGAGCCGGAGGTGGCCGGGGAGGAGGAGGAGTTGGAGGAGGAGGAGGAGGAGGAGGGGATAGCGAAGTGGCGGGCTGAGATAGCGGAGGGGGAGGAGGAGGAGGCGAAAGCGGAGAAAGAGGAGCCGTTGGTGAGGACGGTGAAAGGTTACAGGGTCGTGAATCCTCATCGTTTGATACTCCACGGGTCGAAGAATTGCTTGGACGAGGGTTTCGACGTATTGTCGAGAGGGAAGCAGGGACTGATTGCCGCCCTCGCGGCGATAGCCTACAGGAAACTGAAGGAGCCGACCAAGTGGCGGAACATGGACGTTGATCAGTTGGTCGACGTGAGCAACAAAATATTCGAGGACATCGTGGATTGGATAAGGAAGGGCCGGCCCAAGTTGAAGGAGGACGTGGAAATAGTAGGCGAGGTGGAGGAGGAAGAGGCGGAGGAGGAGGAGGAGGTGGAAGGGGAGGTGGAGGAGAAATTGTTGCCGAGGCCGAGCCACTTGGACATGAGTATGCTACCGATCAGATTGAAGATGGGGGAGAACGACGTGTTCTTCAAGACGAAGATGAAGATCATTCAGGGGGAAGCGTGCCCGTTGGCGAATCTCGGCGAGGCCCTCGAATGTTACTTCAACCGTTATCCGGAGTTGGTGTTGGAGAACAAGAGACTGATGTACGGTATCTGGAAGGAGGAGTCCCACTTCTTCATGTTCAATCCTTACGGGAGCGACGGCGAAGGTTGGCGCGTTCGCGACTATCCGGCCTCGTTCGCGGTCACCGCCAGTTTGAACGAGTTGGTCGATCTTCTTTACGGCGTGTTGGAGTTCAACGATCACTTTTTCACCATTCACTTCGTCGCGTTGGACTCGATACAACCCGGCCTCTACGCCACCGAACAGATAATAACGGTCCCGACCGACGCGCCGATCGAGAAATTCAAGACGTCCTTTTTACCGATCACGGACGCCGATTTGAAAAAGTTGGAGGCCGAGATATTGGCGGAACAGGTGGTGGTGAAAGAGCCGGAGGAGGACGTATTGGACATCGAGGAAGAGGCGGAGGAGGAGGAGGAGGAAGAGGAGGAAGTGGGGAAGAAGGTGGTGAAGAAGGTTCTGAAGGAGGAGGAGAAGCCTATGATCGATCCGTTGCTCGAGGTGAAGGAGCAGGATCAACCCGATCCTCCCTACCGTTTGAATCTCATCCTATTGACGTCCAACATGAAGATCTACGACGAGAACGACGAGACGATCGATCAGCTCCACGAACAATTAGCTTTGGAGAAGCTCAAGTACAATCATCCACCCCCATACGTTCTGCCATCGAATAAGATCTTGATGAAGCTTCTCGAGGCGAAACGAGCCAAACGATCCATCCCATCTTTGGTGTCCAGGTTCTCCATAGACTCGAGGCTGGACGTGAAAAAGAAGGCGCCGATATACATATCGAAATCGGCCGTGGTCATGCCGACCGTTCCTGAACTCTACGAGCCGATACCCTCGAAAATGATCAAATTGTCTCCCAACAAATACCTGTACTCTAGAATTTTACCGATATGCCTGATGCCTCTCAGAGCTATCGACGATATGTACATCCAGGACGAGACCCTCGCCAAGGCTATAAAGGAGAAAGAGATCAAAAGATTGGAGGAGGAGAGGAGGCGTGCCCAAGAATTCGTGAAACAGGACGCGCCTGAGGTACCGGTGGGAATTCGAATACGACCGTACTTGTTAATGCTCGGCCCGATCATCAAAACGCCGACCCCTGAGAAACGATTAACCATGACCTGTATCGAGAAGAAGAAACGGAAGTGTCTGTTGCCCAAGGACGACGAGGGTGACGCGCTCATGGAGAAGATTCTCTGCAACACCGAGGATTTGTTGCTAGAATTGTTTTTCCCCGATTTCAAAGCGAAAACTGATCAGGTTCGTATATATGTATTATATATCGTATATATACGATATTAAAAAGATATTTAAAAGAGAAATATATATATATATATATATTTATTCGCGCGTCGATTATTATCATTATTATCATTCTTTCGTTGATTGTTTCCCGCGACACGATGCACAGTTGGAAACGAAAA